GAGCAAAGTCTGGAGGGCAGGGACGTCTTGCTGTGGTTTGGAGGAAGGAGACAAACCAGGGGTGAGCACGGGATGGAAGGGAGGGGGTGGTGAAGGGAGGTTAAGAGCCCAGCACTGATAAGTTCTACATGGAGCTGGAAACCACTGACCTTGGATCCCTGCTCCTCTGCCCTTCTCTGGTCTCTCACCACCCTCCCTGCCGACACTTCCTTATTCCCCATCCTGTTCATTTGATTGCCACATTCTTCCTTGTTTGGCAGTTTTCAAAATCAAGTTTCAGCAAGGAGCTTTTGTGCAGAGTAACTGCTGCTACCGTAGCAATCCTGGCCTTAGTATCAGGACAGCAGGGTTCAGCACTACAGAGCTTAATGAGTCATGTCCTCAGACCCAGTTACAGTAGCATCACAATGAGGCAGCAGACCTAGGTGATACCTTACCTAGAGACTACTCTGAAATTCACAGACACACACACACACCAAAAACACCTCTTTGGCCATTTAGTCAGGGGAGAGGAGATTCAAAATTTCTGCTACAGGCAAGTGGGATGTTCATACTATGGGATTGACTCAAGCCAAAAATAGCCCATGGCAAAAGAGAGAAGCACAGGGTGTGTGCACAAACGTGTTAGGAGTGCAGAAAGTCCTGTCAGGCATGTAGTCAATCTTCCCAGCCTCATCATGCCCTTGTAGGCACTACAGCAGGGCAGCCTCCCTCCATCGGTCTGAAACTTTCAACTCTCTCCTCCAGTAGGGGTTCAACTGACCACCATCACACAGCTCTTAATGGTGGCTGGAAGTTGAGTCACTGTGTCAGCCTGGCTCTCTCTCAGCAGGAGAAAGAGACAGAGGGCACTGTAGGTCCCGTTCTTCTAGGACCTGCTATCCTGTGAGCCTCTTCCCTCCAACCAGATCATGTGACCCTCCTGCATCTTCCCTGGGGTTTGGACTCTCCTTCCAGAGCGCCAGAAGCTGGTGCTTCACTACCAATTCCCCTCAGAGTTGCTGTCTTATTTCTAAGGAGGCAGGACCAAAGGATCCAAAGACATAGTACCTTTGCTGGGCTCATCACTTCAGCACCATGTCCCTGCCTCTGACCAGAGGAACTCACCTCCTTCTGAGGCCTCAGACTGGGTCTTCTGTAGACTAACTAAGGAAGTCCATGGCAGATAAGCTGGTCTGGTGGCTGGTGAGCAGTGGTCTCAGTTATGAACCCTAACCCTGGAAAGGCAATGACCACACAGGAGATGCAAGCAGAGTTGCATCTCCATATGATGGAGCAGAGTTGAAGAAAACCCAAATGTTTTCCTCGACACTAGAAGGCACAGTGCTTCACTCTCGTCCTAAGAATTGACATTTAGTAACTCAATTACCGCCAGATAAGGAGTTAAGCACTGCCTTACTTCCTAAGAGTCTGGGCTCTGGAAAAAAACTGACTGCCTGCTCTGCCGCTTTTATTTATTTAATAAAAGAGGTGAGTGCCTACTATATGCCTGTTTTGTTCTATGTGAACAAAACATCGTAATTCCCCCATCTTGCGGAGCTATATTCCCGCAGGGGAGAGACAGTAAGCAACAGTTAATAAATTTAGGTTTTATTAGGTGGAAAGGCATAAACGCTATTCCAGCAAAAGGAAAAAGGATCCCTCTGGTTTACAGTGTGACTCTGGTCAGGTTTCCGAGCCTTTCTGTTCTTGCTTTCTCTCTGTAAAATGAAAAGAATCGTAGCACCTACTCACAGTGCTATTGCGAAGATTAATGTGAAAAAGCACAACGGTGCTTGGCATTTTACTCAGTAAACTCAGTAAACATTCTCAGAATGAATCAGTCAATGAACCAATCACTCATTGACCCCGCAGCCTGCCCCCCCCCACACTCATCCCCAAGGCCCTGCCACTCAAACCCCTAGGGACGCGAGCTCTTTATCCAAGTCCCCTCCAACCTTCCTATCGGTCCCAACTCCGCTTCCCCTTACTTCACTACCAGGACCCGACGTCTCAGGGAGCGTCAATTCGCGCCGCCCTCGGGGTCAGCAGGGCACTTCCGCTCCTCGTTGCCTTGGGAACCCCGGGTCCGAGCGTGGCGCACGCGCAGGAGCTGGTGGCGGCCGGGCGAAGGAGGGGGCGGTGCGAGGCAACACTGCCCCTAGGTGATATGGCGCCTTTCGGGGACAGAGATTCTGACGTAGCTCCTTCTGAGACTC